TCGTTCTTGATACCAATCCACCAACTTATCAAAACGAAATATGTGGTTCAACTACACTCGTCTCCTATTAAAATCTGAAATTCATGTGTAGAATCGTTCATTTCAAAAGCTGTAAATGTTACTACAGTGTTATTTGGCACAAATATGAAATGCAAAAAGTAAATATACTCCACTATTCACCACACACAAGGATGAGGTGATATCGTAAATGACCATAAATGACGCACGACGAAATGACTTCTACAATTAAGTCAATGTGTTGGGTTGTTGTTACATATATACGAATAGTGTCGAATCACAACAACATTGAAATAAAAATCAAAAGTCTAATCCTGAAACCCGTTCTTTTCACGTTTTTGATTTTACTAATAAGTAAATAAGTAATTATAACCGATCAATTTTTTAGGTATGGAACATAAATAACATCTTTGAACAGGTCCACGTCATTGATAGGCATGAACTCCAAATTGATCATATCAGGTATACATTATCACTGGTTCCAGAATTAATCAGAGCTTCTGAATGTTGGTCCAGAGGGGGGTCATTTCAAATTGCAAATTTTCATTTGGGGGTTAATTTCGAGTATGGGTAATTCCAAAATTCCAAAAGTGAAGAGAGAAAAAAAGTTTCATTGTTTGTATGTAGTTTGTATTGTAATGCATATTTCAATTCCCGGCTAATTCCTCATTTGAACCCGTGCGCGTAAAAACGACTTATAGGAGCGTCGCCGAACAAAGCGAAACACCTATTTGTTACTCGTTCAATTCGGAACAAATTGTACACTGGTATGTTACGCCGACAAATCTATGTTACGTTTTGATCGGTGATTTTTTTTGTAATTCGTTTTTATGCTCATGGGTTCATTTGTAAGCCGAACTGTTATTTTTATAACAATTATATTAAATAACCTAATTTCAAATCGATTCTAATCACTTTTCAAAATCGAATTTATCTAATGTAAACCCGCTTCGCAGAAAACGTGAAGACTAAAAAAAAGTCCTCACTTTTCAATTTAAATCAGAGTATGGGTAAAAAATTTCCAAATAGGGGTAATGTGCCAAAATTAATTTGACCCCTCGGACCCTGGCAGGGTCACCCTGCTTCAGAAGCTCTGGAATGAATTGACTATTTATGTAATTGAAAATAAAATTGTTGTCACGATTTATATTTTATGGAAAGTCTTTCAGACAATGGATTGGCAGTTACCGTTACTAGATCATTTGTTGGTGTTTGGGAACTTCGATCTGGTCGATTATTATCAAAATTGGCAGATAGTCATTTGGGGGCAATAGTTACACATGCTGAAATTTCACCACCGGATGGAAAGTTTATTGTATCATCAGAGACCGGAAAATTATTGACTTGGAACAGAGTATCAGAGCAAGTACTGTTTCGGGACGATCAACCGGGTATTCAACAGATAAAATTTTTAGATGGTGGTGAAAAAGTTATGGCGATTTCTTGCGCTAACGTTAATCGTAAAACAGAGGACGCAGAGTGTGGCGATTTGATAGCCCTTGTTCGGATCAGAAGCATACCTGAAGGTTCACTACTATGTGCCTTTGATTATCCTTTTAAAATAATTCCAGGAATCCCATTCAGAAATGCAATTATTACGTCTGATAACAGTCATATTGTCGTTGTGACGATTGACAAAGCAAATAAAGATTCCATTAGCGTATTCACTTCTTCAGGGAATCATGTGCATAAAATTCCGTTGCGCGGCTACAGCATTAAGGTTTTTTCTGCAATATTTTACTTTTTTCAATAAATATTTAAATTATAAAGGCACATACAATTTCCAGGAAGTCCTTTCTATAATTCCTCTTCCGCATAAGCCCACACAAATCGGGATAATTGGTAGTGAAAAGGGTAGCATAATTGACATAAAAACCAAAAGACATGTTCGATCGGTTCCAAAATGGAATGGAAGCTGTACACGTGATGGAAAATTCGGTTTGTTTGCGCCAACACGAGGAGGCCTAGAATTGTTAGAACTCCGCAAGGGATTTACAGGTGAGATTTTATATTCTTATCAACTATCTATTTGAGAAATCTATAGGGTAAGGTGGGGCGAATCGGTACAGGGGGCGAATCGGTCCACCAGCCTTTTCTCGTTACGGGCAATACTTACACTATTAAACCTATATGTCATTTGAAAGAGCATCGAAATTGTGACATTTGGTGATATGGTTTTGACATGTTTCAGTCAAGTACAGAGAGTACACAGGCATACACGTGTTTCGTGATAGTGCTGAAATAATTGTTTGTGTTTACAGATTTTAAGTTTTGACCATTAAAATTTAATATTTTTTGAAAATTTGTAAGTGTATTTTGTAGCTAAAGACGAGCTCTTTCAAATGAAAATAAGTTTGTTCTGAATATTTTAAATTTTTGAGGTGAATCGAGCTCCGAACACAAAAGTAGGTGGTGGGGCGATTCGGTACACAAACACATGGGGCGAATCGGTCCACCTTATTTTCGTGTTTTATCGCTAATTGGTCACTCAGAACTCATATCTGTGGATGTGGCAATGTAGATGGACTTTATACTGGTCAATCAAAAGTTCCAGACTTCAAAAATATTATTTTTTGAAGGAGTTATGTCCAAAACTGTGATGTGCTTATGGCGTCATACGAGTCTGCGTTCGCATTTCTTGTGCGCGGCATAACTCAAATAATTGACAAGATAATTAAAATTCAAAAACGGTAAAAGTTTTGGCATGTTGAGAAATGGCAATATCGGACTCGAAAAGAGGTCAAATCAAAAAATGTTCTTCTATAAAAGTTAGGTATTGAATCTAGCTACAAGATAACACCAAACTTTCATGATTTTTTTTAAATTTTTATGGAAATATTTAATTAAGAACAAAATGGACCGATTTGCCCCACATTACCCTACAAATACATCAGAAATAAATATCAGAAATTAGAAACTATGTGTAAAATGCAATGTTATGTTCTTACTTCATCGGTAAAAAAAATTCAAATGTTATAAGTAATTGTTTTTGAAAATGAATATTCTTTGGTTCAGAATAAACCAGTGGCGTAGCTAGCGTTTTTATACTTAGACGTTTAAACGGTTGTATCAATCGATAGATCGGACCAAAAAAATGAGATTTCGAGAAAAAAAAAACCTGCAAAAATTTTGAGTTTTGCCTAAAAAACCTCAAAAAATCGCGAAAAATCGAATTTTTAAAAAGTGGTCCGATTTGGATGAAAATTGGTACATAGCACAAGTTCTATAACTAATCTGAAGACAGTTAACTCTAATCTCTTATCAATTTCGCGCAAATCGCGCAATTAAAAAAGCAAAATTTATGTAGAAGTTTTTTTTTCTTATCATTTTTCGCGTTTTCCGCGAAACTGATAAGAGATAAGAGATAACTGTCTTCAGCTAGGTTATAGAGGACCTCGAGTACTAAAACTTTGCTGAAGGAAACAAGTTGTTATCTCTTATCAGTTCTACAAAAACCACAAAAAACCGTGACGACCCGCCAAAAATGAACATACTTTAACCATTTTCAAGTCGAAAGAAACTTACTCTTCTCTTTCATAACAAAATCAGTGAGACATACACTACTCTCAATCTCACCTAAAGATTATGGTATCGTTGGAAAGGGAATCGATGGGGCTACAAAAACCGCGAAGTTACCTACCCCATTCTACTCCATTGGGGCCTCCAAAAATGGGTTCAAAGTATAAAATGTGAAATATCTCAAATAGGTGTATGATGTATGAATTTTTTTGTTGATTTTTTCGCGTCAAAAGATAGCCCATGTTACGCCGCTTCAGATAAAAAATTAAAATTTCTGACTTAGTAATTAGTCTGACTTAATTCGTGTATTTGGCCTCGGAAAGTGGATCATATCTTATTTTTCACGGTTTTTGTGGGTAAAACGGTCAAAAATGGCCAAAAATGGCCTCCCACGGTGTTTTTGTCTGGGGAAAGTGCTATTTTTTCGCCAGAATACATCAAAATATTATCATTTGAATATCTGTTTACCTATAAATTTGGTGTGAAACCGACATTACAACTCTTTTCGGATTTCGTGTGGAATTGTCGGTTTACACTTTCGCCAGAAGTTCAACTGGTTCAGAACTGAATTAGGAAGAAACATAAAAACAACGTATTATATCTCGAAATTTTGAGAGGCACAATGCACCACAAATAACGTAATTTTTTTCTCCGACAGTTAAAACATTCATACCAAAAGTAGCTGAAGGTGTTTTCACCGTGATTTGTATGTTTACCGAGGGGGATGAATATGTACTGTACTATCATAGTGGCAAAAAGACTCTGCGAGTTTTTCGGACATCAAATACAGAAATGATTGCTAACTATAGGATGCAGGCTGAACTGACTGCAATTAAGAGTACAACTGATGGTAAGGGATTAGTTTTGGGCACTGTCGATGGATGTTTATCCGTTTTCGCAATAGCGGATCCTGAGAAAGATGAAACATCCAAATTTTTGGCTGACCTTCCCAGTCGAGATGAACAATGGAAGAAGAAGTTGGCAAAGAAAAAAGCGCGTATAAGATTTAAAGCAACTATTACTCTCGTTAAATTATGTTTGAAATTTGAACAGAAATATGCTATCAATGGCACATCTGCTGAAAATGGTTCGAAGAAACCAGAAATTGAACATAATGTGGATATTTAGTTTTTTTTTATTATATGGTGATGGGCTAATGTCCCGCCTAGAATGTTATGTTAAATAAAAAGAATAATTTTTCCTTTTTGTTAAGCAATATTGTTTTATTTTTTATTCCTAACAAAAAGAGTTACATATTCAAGAGTCTTCCACATCGCTTTAATTGTTCAAACAATTTCGACTCGAATAATTAATTTTTTCCGATAGTTGCAGAGAAGAATGTTAATTTTTCATTGAGTTGGAGTTGTGTTTTGATCAATTGCGACAATGAGATCACCATAAGTAAATCTTTCACATTGGAATTGAACATTTGTGCAAATTGATCATTATTCATATGTGGAACTGAATTAACCAGATCGAGCAATGATCGTCCAACTGCATTATCTGGTGGTTGTTTGCTGTTGAGTACATCTTCAACATACGATAATAATTCATCGAGGAGATTTGACAATTTGGCAGATGCTTCTGCGACCTGGGCCAAATCAAGCATCGGCGATACATTCTTGGAGCGATTTGGTGGAGCAATGGTTTTTTCACATAATTGCAAGCCCACCACCTAAAATGTAAATCATTTTGGATCAATATTCGGTTTTGTTAAAAAATGAGTGAGTAAAAGAGAGGGAGAGAAAGAAAGAAATTTGTCTTGAACTTACTTCTGGTTCGTAGTAAGTGACTTCAGTGTTGATGGGTGTAAACATGCATCCACTTTTTCCTCCTGGAACACCGAGATTAATGCAAACGTACGCCTTCAATCCCATACGACCACCTTGTAGCGATGTGTCAACCGTCAAATGCACTGGATTGTTACATTCACGAGCGTAGTATTCATGAATAACTGAGCTGTGATTGGTAACTTCATGGCCTGTAGCCCACCAACCTTGAATCAAACGCGAAAGTGATTATTGTTCGTATGATAATTGGATTTTTTGATAACATAAAATTATCTTCATTTTTATATGCCAAAATTAGAATGTAAATAACATTGTAGGCTTTTCAACAATTGGCAGGCGTGCCAACTGAACAAAACATAAAATGTATGATACTTTACTGTGCATTAAGATGCAATGACACATGGCAAGTGCAAAATTATGAACATATTCTCATTATTTTTCTACTACTTACCAACGATACTTTCTGATGGATTCACACGCCGATTCAATTCATATACGTCTAATGCGTAGCTAAGTTCAGCTTCGACTTGATCATCGTGCTCTTTGTGAGGTACACAGAAGCAATTTGTAACCTCAACAACACCTTTGTCCACGGAGCCTAGTGAAAACGATTTTATTTGATAAATATGAAAACTACATCACAACGATTGAACTGTATGAATTCCTCACCTAATAATGTTCCAATCACACGTTGAGAATCAGCATTACGTCGCTCAAAAGCGTCGACAATCTGAAATAAAACGATCGGATGAACTTTTACAGACAAGTTTAATGCTGACATTTTGCAGAAAGACTGAAACGTTGTCGGGTGTTTGCCGCTATGACAGATCAATGACAGATTATCACAAAGTCTCGTGACTTTTATTCATTGTGCATTTATGAGTGGCGACATCTATTTGTGGCAGGTTCGTAGAACAAATTCATACAATATTTAATTCATAAATCTATGCATGAATAGATTGCTAACAATTGAAAGTCTTTTCTACTCTGAATTCATCAAAAGCAACACCATCCATGAAATCAAATGACATTATCCCTTTTCAACAAATAATACTGAATTTTTATTTTTTCTTCTCTAATATTTTTATATTTAATAGGTTGAACAATAAAATGAAAATAAAAAATCATATTGAATTTGATTCATTTAACTACTCGATCTTGATTATGCGTTTCATTGTGTTTGAACAAAAAAATCTGCGGAGTTTTCCCTCTAATATTTACAATAGTTTCTCGCTTCAGAGATGCGGCATCTGTCAACATTATATTATATTAATATTATATGCAGGAGGCAAATTTCCTCAATCCAGGTGATTTTAATGTAACATTGAAAACCAAAAAAAGAGGAAATGCGCAACATCTGAAGGAGTTTACACGCTAATAATGGTTATAATGGTGCAATTTGTTTTACAGTGAGAGAAAGATACAGAGAATTAACTTCGTTCAATTACTGGAATGCACAAAATGTGACAATATGAAAAAAAAAACACTCTCTGACGTAATAATAACAATTTTTCGGCTATTTCAAGTTTGTTCAGAAAATCTGTGATTTTGGATCTAATTTGTGCCAGAAATCAGAAATTAGAACTATTTCTTCTTCCCTAAGACTCGTACGAAGGAGATAATGTTAATAAAACCCGAAGTAGGTGATTGTGAATTTGTAAGTGTTAAACAAACTAATATATTATATTACATTTCACATGTGCAAGAAAAAATTCCGGTAAAATGGCAAACGAAAACACAAAATCGTTGGATGGCTGATTCGTTTTTGTAGTTGGAATAATGGTAATCAATTTCAATTGTGAAAATTGATTGAGAATGACAGTGAATCGGTTGATATACTGCCTACCCTCCAACTTTAGTTTTTGCCTATATTCAAACATCGAAAACTCTTATATCAATTATTGTACGTCAAGATTTGACTTCTACGCTTTCGGTTATGTATTTTTTTGTTCTGTAAAGTTTCAAGAATATTTGAATTAATTCTCTTTCCAATAAAACTTCCCTTGTGAAATGATTTTATCGTTTCATGCATTAAGCCATAAAATGGACACTAGACTATAACATTATAAGTAAATATTATTTTGCTGATTTTTCTGCAATTTTTTTCTCTTTAAAATTAGAAATTCAAACTGGTTTACGATTTCAATTCGATTCAATGAAACTCGAGAGAAATTTAATCTTCAAGATTGCGGAATGCCGATTGCAAATCCTCATGCAGTTGGTCGAAATCGGCCTTAATCTTGGCTTCTCCATCTTTAACTGGATCCTACAGATGGACAAGAACAATGATAGCGGGAAATTGTTACTCATTCGTTTTACTCTTTGTATATAAAAATATTAGTGAATATACCTTGAATTTCATTGAAGACAACTGATACATATTGTTACCCATGGCATCTCGGATAACATTCCATGTGATTTTGTTCTCCGATTGTGCAGTTGATTCCACAGCATGGCGAGCCATGTCGTAGAAGGCGATGATATTCTTCAACATGCCGACAGTTTTGTAGAATGGACAGAAACGATCGTATGATGAATATGAATTTTGTTGCAAGAAATCATCTTTCAACAATTTAGCGACTTCCAGAGTAATTTTATCAGTTTCAGCCAATGAAGCCTTTCCAACTAGCTGCACGATTTCGGACAGATCCTCTTCTTCTTGGAGAATTTCCTTGACTTTTGTACGCAATGCCACGAATTCGGGGAAGTTTTTGTCATAGAAATCATCTAGAGCGCGCATGTATTTACTATAATCGAAATAAAATATCAATATATTATATGAATGATTGAATATCTGATTGAGACAAAGAAAAATCAAATTCATGAACTCTTCATCATACCTGTACGATATAAGCCAGTTGATTGAGGGGAAATGTTTACGTTGTGCAAGTTTTTTATCCAAACCCCAGAAGACTTGTACGATACCCAAAGTAGCAGAAGTGACAGGGTCAGAAAAGTCACCTCCTGTATATTGAGATATTTAAAAGGATATTCAAAATATAATATCAGAAAAGAACAAATTCGTGTGATTCATGTGTGTTCAGATCAATTCACAAACCTGGTGGTGATACGGCACCAACAATAGACACTGAACCTTCACGTTCTGGGTTTCCTAAGCATTTGACGCGGCCAGCACGTTCGTAGAATGAGGCCAAACGAGCTCCCAAATAGGCTGGATAGCCTGAATCAGCAGGCATTTCAGCCAAACGACCAGAAATTTCTCGAAGAGCTTCAGCCCAACGTGATGTTGAGTCAGCCATCATAGAAACGTGATAGCCCATGTCTCGGAAGTACTCCGATAAAGTGATACCAGTGTAAATAGAAGCTTCACGGGCAGCAACAGGCATGTTCGATGTATTTGCAACTAATGCTGTACGTTTCATGATTGACTCAGTAACGCCATCGATTTCGACAGATAATTCAGGGAAATCTCGCAATACTTCAGACATTTCATTACCACGTTCGCCACATCCAACATAGACGATAACATCAGAGTTGGAATACTTTGACAACGATTGTGAAATGACAGTTTTACCGCAACCAAACGCACCAGGAATGGCTGTCGTACCACCTTGGACACATCTATAGAACAATGATGAAATGATTTCAATGATTGGTTATTGACCTACTACTTATTATTATTATCCTACTCCAGTCTGTGATACTTATTTAATTGATTTTAACACGAGTACAAATACTGTTAAACAGAGAATTAATGAATATTTTAAAAGAAATAGATTATGGAGAGAGTGATAAATTTTATGCAAATATAGCAACTTAATTAATGTAATATAATGTAAATATACAAAATAATATTTATATCAAATAAACCACCTCTGGCGAAGAAACGCTGTATGGTGCAGAATAATAATAATAATGACCATCAAATGTGTAAATGCAAGAAAAATTAATCTTACGGAAAGAGTGAATCCAATACACGTTGGCCAGTCAACAACGGATGATTGGCTGGTAATTTTTCTGTAACTGGACGTGGTTGACGTACAGGCCATACAGACAACATGGTATGCTTTGTAATTTCACCATCAAATTCGGTTTCAAGCACTACATCATCAACAGTATAGTTGCCGGCTGGTGCAATGTACCGAACGGTACCTTTCGCTTTGGGTGGCACCATCATCTTATGCTTGACCAAAGTGTTTTCATGAACAACACCATATAAATCGCCTCCAGTGATGTGTGATCCAACCTTAACACCCAATGGATTAAAGTCCCAAGCAATAGTACGTGAGAGAGATGGCGTGTTAACTCCTTTTGGGATGTAGATGGAAGCAGTCATCTCGTTGATGTCTTTCAACGGACGTTGGATACCATCGAAAATGCTGCCCATAATACCGGGTCCCAATTCAACTGACAATGGTTTTCCAGTTCGCAAAACTGGATCTCCGACTGTTACACCAGATGTTTCTTCGTACACTTGAATGGTGGCCATATCACCTTCCAAACGGATAATTTCTCCCACTAACTCATAGTAACCGACACGCACCAGCTCGTACATAGCCGATCCAGACATCCGTTCAGCAGTAACGACTAATCACATTATATATCATTATACTGCAAGTCATGAATACAACTATTTATCGATTCATTACATACCTGGACCGGACACGGCATAAACGTAACCGAACTTCGATTCACGATGTTCATCTTGGATTTTTTTTAATGTCGACATTTTGGGATTTCTTTTTCGTCAATCTTCCTTTGAAATAAATAAAATATGTATTTCAAAAATTGTATTAACCGATTGTGATCTTGTGATTGGAGCAAGTTATGCAATTTTTTAATATCCATTTTCAAATGGGATATTTATCAAAGGTGTTAGTGACAGAAAAATATATTCAATTGTACCAAGTCACATGAGCATTGCGATGAGAGTGTGGATCAAATAAAAATATTACATTTTTTTTACAGAAATTTACAATGCACGTTTAAACATTTTGAGAACGTAGGATACAACGAAGATGACATTAATGACGCAAATAAATTGTTATAAATAATGAAAGAAACCAAAATCAAATTGAAGTTTTCCAATCATAATTACTACATAATTGCTTCAACGACAAGTAGAAGTCACATGAACGTCACCTGCTATTACACTTACTCACACCTTTAATGAATGAATGTTTTGAAAAATTTCACGAAAATTGAAAAAAAATCCGAAACTAATAAGATTTCAGTAAAAACAAATTTGATATGACGACTTTTCGAAAAGAATATTGCTTTGCTAACAATTGGATACACACAGTGTATGACAAGTCACATGACTCAATTTTCACTTATCAAAACCTATAATAATGTCTATGTGCGTGTTTTTTTCTCGACTTGTCTTTCTTCTGTCCTCATTTTTGCGCATGACCCAAAACGAAATGAAAATTTCAATAAGATTTCTTTGAAAAAAAAAGAAGATATTCTTCATATATTTTTTAAAGAAGATTGCACTTTGAATGGCTTTAACCAAGATATATTTGGTTTTACACTGAAATCAAAGTACACACAATTAAAAAAAACACGATAAATACGTTTTCGTATTTGTTCTACAAAAACTTATGTGGTATACAATATATATTTCTGATTTTTTTTCTTCTTTATGAACATTTCTACTTTTCATGAATATTCAATGAAAATTTAAAACTTAAATAAATAATATCGAATATAGAACACAACTTACACACAATGTTTTGTGAACTTTAAATTGCAACAAACTGAAATGGAGTGTATCTCAAGCGCACAAAATTGGGTATCACAAGATCTCAAGTTAGCTAGTTATAAATGATGGGTCAGCTGACACGAACTAACATTTCACCATACTTCAAAGTCTTATTCACAGATATTTGTGAAAAATTGAGTATACAATTAAAATTTCCCTGTATACCATTTAAGCTCCATCTAGCGTTGAATTCAAATTAAATAATATATGATTCGAGTTTTATTTGAATTCATTTCCATTATTTTCTGATTAAATAAAAATTTTATACGAGGATATTCAATGTCAATTTCAATTTACTGAATAGTTTCTTATAAAATTAAACATATTTCAATGAAATTAGCGGAATAATAAAGAATATCCCAAAACTCCTTTTGACAGATACATGACAAATTAGAAAGGAAGAAGAAAATCAAGAAGAAGAAGAATAAACCTATGGAACATTAATCGAGGGAAACACTGATGCTTGAATTTTTCGAATAAAATTTAATAAAATACCGATGACAAACTAGCTGACAAGATTTTTTCATAACCGGAAAAAATATATTCGTTTCGATATTATAGACCAGTTCAGAAAAATCATTCAAAAGTCTGTGTTTCCCGTGTGTATTTAAATTCTCATTCTACTCAATCAGAAGTAGCCATAAAAATGACAAAAAAAGATACCAGGTAAATAATAGAAAAAAACATACAAAATGAAAGTGAAAATAATAGAAAAAAAAATCAAATTTATTTCATCCATACATAAAAAGTGAACTTGATTAGTTTGAATGAAATCTCAATCGAATGTGTGGTTTTGGTCCTAACCTCAATATTAATAAATTTGTGTTCATCTCACTACAATCTATTTTCTTCCCATATACAGAGCGACAATAGAACTCGGCGATGTAACGCCACACAACATAAAGCAACTAAAAAAACTGAATACGGTTGTTTTCCCTGTGATTTACAATGACAAATTTTATATTGACGTTTTGGACGCGGGTGAATTAGCGAAATTGGCTTATTACAATGACATTGTGGTGGGTGCCGTATGCTGTCGCATCGATACATCGGAAAATCAACGACGCCTTTATATAATGACATTAGGTTGTTTATATCCGTACCGTCGTCTTGGCATTGGTTCTCTAATGGTTAATCATATTTTGAACTATGTAAAAGAAGATGGAAATTTCGACAGTATATTCCTGTAAGTCGTCGACTGAATGTAATTCTATTACATGGAATTTAACACAGAAAAATGTACTTGCTTTTCAGGCATGTTCAGGTGAATAACGAGTGTGCCATAGAGTTCTATCAAAAGTTCGGGTTTGAAATAGTTGAGACACGAGAACAATATTACAAGCGAATTGAACCAGCTGGTGCTCACGTCCTCGAAAAAAACTTACGGAAATCGGGAATTGTCACCAACTCAGAAGCTATTGCTGATATTTCTTCGAATGGCAACACAGAATCACACACATCTCAAACCAAATCAACTAAAGTATCCGCATAATTTCCGCATTCAAACCCATTTTAAACTAAAATTTTGTTGAATCAAATTGCAATCAACTATGTACACTGAATTTATTTGGTAAAATTAAAGCGACTAAGCGTGAAAACTTTCTCCTTTTTTTCGCATTAGCTCAATTGTTTTAGTGTAAACTAAGTTATGCCCGTTGTAAGTGGTTCGGATTTAATTAAAACCAAAGATTTAATTTTCAACTTTGCGAAAACGGCCAAAAAATGAAAGCTGATTGGGTAGGACGTAAAATTTGGACAAAAACAAGAAAAACTGGCCTTTTGGGTACACCCGATAAGCCTTATGGGCCTTGAAATCATGATTTTCCCGAATTTCGTTAAATCTTAAAGATTTAACTTTCAAGTGCGGGATTTAAGCATTTTTCACGCAAAATCATGTTGCAAATAAGTCAAGAATTGTTGGAAATGACCGAAAAATTCTAAATCAGCAAAAAAACCAACCACTTTGTACGTTTTTTGAGTCCAAATATGCAAAAATATCATTTTTCGTATATTCTCAACGTTAAATTTTCAAATGCGGGATTTAAGAATTTTTCACGTTAAACAGTGAGT